CAGAAGCTTTATTAACTATGATCACAGTGAGAGAACATTGGGAGCATCTTTCCTGGTTCTCTGCCAAGCGATTGCAGAGACCCAAACCATACATTGTTTCAGAGAAAGGCAAGGAAAAGCAATCATACCAATGTTAACAAAGCCAGATACCTTTCCCTGGGAGGGATGGACTCCTGAAGTCTGTTGCTAAACAGCCACAAATCCAATGAGGACTCTGGCAGTAAATAATGTGACAATACAGAGATGGCTCTTGGTGGAGCCTACAGAGATGGCCCGGTATTATCCTATCTGAGATGCAAAGTTGGAAACAATCAGACTTTTGGTTGAAAGGAATGTTCTGAGAGTAAAGATAACCCCTTAGCCAGACCTCTCAATCTTAACTGTTAATAATTTTACCACCACAGCACTGTGACAGCTCAGAAATGTATTTGTTACCTTCCTCTTCCAAGCCACGAGTAAGACCAACAAATGAGAAATCATATCTACCAAGTCAAAAACACTGCAAGACATAACTCAATAGAAATTTTAACTTATTGAGCAAATTTTAATTATTTTTTTTAATATATAATTGGTTAGTTAATGCACTAGTGGAATGATTAAAATACCTCCTTCACAGATCCCAAAAATAAAGGCTCACCCAACCCAAAATTTAGTAATCGGTACTTTTTCCACAAATAAATCAGTCAGTAAATCACGCAGTGCTGCACATGCCTTGCTGCAAAACCAAACACCCAAGGTACAGAGGCAGACTATGTAGTTTGATATATAAACAGATGTACCTAAGCAGATGAAATCCTAAGTATCAGTAAGAGACAACTTAGAGATGGAAGTTTCCTGTTCAAGTTCTTTTCAAGAAACAGGGTCTGCCCCATTTAACATGTTCATCCTTAGCTAGGCAAGTTCCATGAATAAAATTAAGTCAAACTGGAATAAGCACCACTACAAGCTAAATTTTTGTTATTAGAGGCCAAAAAGTCTAAGATTATCTTGATCAATTTTTATCAGAGCCTTGATCAAGCCTAATTCATTCAACTGCAGACCTTGAGTCTCTACTAGTCTAATGGGAATATTAGGTAGTAAGTGCCAAACACTTTCTATCCCAGAATTACAATTCTTAATCCTATGATTGACATTTGAGTCTTGAGCAATGAGGCCCAAGTTGTTTTATTTGGGAGCCAGGCTGACCATTGAATTATTATTAGAATTCATTCTGCTGAGGAGGAACAAAAATGTATCAAATTTAGTATTGCAGAAAAATTATTTTTGATTGCTCCTACTCCACTTCAATTTTTAAACAATACCTCAAATTTCACCTCTGTAAATGTGCTCCAGTCCAAAATCACTGAAGCACTTACAAACACTGTAAAAGTTTCTGCCTCTAACAAACTGGTGCTCATCACAGGTATTGCAATACAATAGTATCTTAAGGAATGCTCCCTCTGCAGTAGAATGCTCCTTAACAGCAGTTAAACTATTTTTTGTAAAAACCTCGAGTTTACACAGAGTAGTTATGTACTGCACTGAAATTGCTATTATTCTGCTGCAACAAAAAAAACCCAAAATTCCTGACCTCTTTGACTCTTCAACTACTGTAAAGACTCAAACTTTTACAAGAGAGGAGTACTGGTTTAAATACTTCAGTTGATAATGCAGTACATAATCAAGTAGTCTCCAGCCAGCCCTGAACACACCGTATATACGGCTACATAAAGAAAATACTTGAGAGTCCTCAAGAAGTATTACTTAGCTGGGCCAGCCTCCATCTCCCCCTCCTTCTTATCCCAATCTTTCATAGATAGGCTTTAAATGTTTTGCAGCTGTCCAACATTAAGGCTGAAGAATTCAACAACCACGGCACTATAAAAACACAGGGTGAAAAGCAACTACATTCAGGACCCGTTACAGAGCCAGAAGAGGTTCCTAACTGCAAACTTCTTCAGCAAAATCTGGATAAGGTCCCGAGAGCAGATAAACCTGTAAAATTATTCCTTCTTCCTTCCAGATAATTCTTCAAGTGAGTGCCTACCATATAAACTAGTGCAGACTATGCATAACTGCATTGAGTTTTAGCCAACCTCTCTCACAGCCAAAAATATCAACCACCACCACTGCACACATTTTCTTACTGAGATTTTCAGAAGGTCTGCATAATCTTGTAACTACGAAGTTAGTGAGCCATTTCATATTTCCTGAAACTAAACTGCACATCAGATGATTCACCAATTAGTGTATTCATGAAGCTTTAAGAACCAATCAAAATTGCATTTTTGCTGAAAAATTTAACAGAAATGTCCAGCTGTATGCTTGGAGAGAGCATGTGGGCTCTTCTCCTTTATTTAACTTAACTAACAGCTACGTTAGCTGGTGAAAAATATTCAGTGTGTCAAAGTTAATTTATCAAGCTGACAAAGTATAAGGGCTCCAGAAGGTATAGCATACATTTACTAAATTTTAAATACAACATTTTAACTAGATATAGCTCAAAGATTAAAATAAGCTGTCCAACAACCAAACCACACAAATACATATCACTCCAGGGCACTTCTTATTTAATGGAGCAATTGCATGCTTGTTTCAAACTAATGCATAGGTCAGCATATCAGAAAAGCTGATCATCCTTCAGACCTCAAACCCCATAAATCAAAATGTGTTTTTTTTAAACTAGGTGGATATCTTTGAAGACAGAAGGTTAGCCAGTACAATGCAGGCCATGATCAGATGGAGGGGAGGCACTGCATGTTGCTCAACACAACCCAGCTTTTCACCTCCTGGAAGCCTCTAGGCACAAATACCACAAGGTAAAATTAAGTGCCGATTTCCCCCTAAGGTTGAAACTTCGAAGCACAGCTCTTGGGGAAACAAGGTAAGGAAATCAGCCTAAAGTAGACAGTTACTCAAGAATTACTTAACTAGCCAACCTATTCCAATACTTTGGAATAAAAATCAGTATTTTAGGAGTTTATGATGAAGCCTTTATATCAAAAGTTCTTTCATCTATGAAGTCAGGAATGTATAATTTAGTAAACAAAAAGGCATCCTGTTTAGATTTTACATTTGTTTTCACTATTTGTAACAATAAATAAAATATTACCAGTTTAACTAAATTTTAAGAATAGATAAAATTGCTGTAGGGAAGTTACATGGAATGATCTTAATCCATTAAGTATCTATCAAAAATTTAGCTATTTTGCAGGAAGCTATCACAGGATGAGGTGCTTTACAACTATTAACAAAACCCATCACTGTTGTTTGATTAGACTAAAATCCATCACTAAACATAATGAATGAGCCCCAAAAATGCACGTTACACCATCTTTGGTTATATGTCCATCATAGAAACATCTAATTTGAGGAACAGTCACTCATTTCTCTAGAACCTTGCTGCAGAGTGACAAGTTTCACATGTTTCAAATAAGATTTAAAAAATCCCCCTTCAGTTGATTTCTAATCCCTTGCATTTGCTCCCTCTTTCTTAGATGTACCTGCCATCACTAAAAGAGAAACAGAAGAGAAATTCTAGATATTCCTGCAAGGACTAACTCAGCCATTTTTCCAATGCTCTCATACACGTGAAGTCATGTCAAGCTACTGCTACCCAACTGTCTGAATTCACCGCCTGATTTGTACTGCTAATGCAATCCTGAAAACCAGAGTAGAGGCAGGACATTTAGACCAACTGGAAAATCAGAACAGATTTCATAAGCTCAGTCTACCAGGTCACAAAATTGGTTTGTTTTCTCTCTTTCTGTAGTTTGCTTTGGACTGACAAATAATTCGCTTGAGAAATACAGATAATTCACTCTATCATATTAAAAGGTAAAGAATTGATTCTGTTCTGACAGAAACTCTATTGCTAAGGCTATAGCTTCGATACGCGGTCCATTTGAGTATCTTGGTTTACAGACTGACAACTGAATGAAGTAGGAGGTTGCTAACTTGGAAACTTGCCTCCTTTCAAATGTCTCACTGCAGCAAACTCATCAGCTGAGGATATTCAAGGTAACAGGGGTTATGCTCAGGCTGAAAGCTGCATGAGATCTTCAGTGCAAGCTTCTAATGGCACAAACTTGCATGACACAAGGTCTTGAGGTGCATGGATCACACTTCAAGATTTCTATGGATGTAACATTCCCAAACAATACTAGAATTAGTTCCAGTGAAAAGGCATCTTTGGTTTGTGTGGTACGGCCAGGGATCACACCTCACAGAATGGGATATGGTGCCATATGATGAACAGCATAAAATGTATCGCTTACAATCAGAAACAGTGCAGAAAACTTCAACAAGCTTTAGAGGAGAAGGAAAAATAAAAGAGGGGAGCATTCTGTAAGTATTCAGGGAATGGAAACAGACCATTGTACATGCTGGGTTCATAAGACCACATCACCAGATGACATACAACCCTGATGAAACAAATATTCAGAGACAGAGATGTATTCCATGAGATAAAGCTACTGTGATTCAGTGCAAGTATTGAAGTACAAAGTTAACAACAATAGCAGAAATAACTCGATTTACTGCTCCTACAATTCCCAACTTAGAATCAGATGCTTATAAAGACCACTTGCAAACTTTTATGAGCGCTCACGAGAGAAGCCGGCCTGACGCTCAAGGCGCGCCCCTCCGCAGCAGGGGTTAACAGGAGGCTGGACGCCCCGAGGTCTCTTTAGTGGTCATTCTGCCGGGCCGATTTCCACACGGACAAACCGTGCGTGCAAACTCGGACACAGGAGACGGCCGAGCAGCCCGCTGCTCCTGCACAGCCCCGCGATCACCCCGGCTGCCGACACCGGGCACCCCGTCCGCCCGGGGCGGGCTCGAGCCCCCGCTCCGCTGCGAGCCCTCAGCGAGGCGGCCGGGAGCGAACGGAGCCGCCCCCCCACGCCGCTCCGCGCCTCCCCCGCCCCAGGCGCCCTTCTCCCGGCCGCGGGTACAGCCGAGTCCTCGCCGTGCCTTCCCCCGGCTCCCTCGGGCCGGGACAGGGCGGCAGCTCCCGCCTCCCGTCCCGGCGGGGGCAGCGGCGCCTCAGCGCCGTCCCGGCGGGGGCAGCGCCCGTAGCATCCCCGGCCCGGGCCCGCCGCCGGTGCCGCTCCCGGAGCGACCGGACCGAGCCCCCTTCCTCCCTCCCTCCGCCCAATGTAAAATAGTTCCCCGGGCCCCGGAGCGGAGACACCGGGAGCGACACCTCGCCGGCCAATGAGAGCCGGCCTGGCCCCCCGCGGCGCCAATGGGAGCGGCGGGTTGGCGGGGGCGGGGCGTCGCCCAGCCAACCGGGCCACGGCGCTCGCACTGACCCGCTAGGCTGTCTCCGGTGGCCTCCATTGACCACCATCTTGGAGTCGGGCGCGGCGCCCGCGCCGGGAATGGGCCGGCCGGCCGGCGGCCATCTTGGGTCCGGGCGGAGTCACGTGCGGGGGCGGCGGCGGGGAAGGGGCGGCCGAGCGGAGCCCCCGCCCCGCTGGAGCCGGAATTCCCCGCGACAGCCGCGGCAGGGGCGGGACGGGAAGGGAAGGGAAGGTGGGAAGTTGGCTTCGCACAGTGCAGCTCCTGAGGCGGCCGGATGCTGCGCAGGCAGGCACCGCCCCGGCACTGCGCCTGCCGGCGTCAGGCGGCTCCTTGCACGCTGCAGGGAGAGACCCTTGGAGACACGTCGCTGTTGTTGGCAGTGATACCTATTTCGAAGCAGCTTCCTCTCCCTTCCTCCGTATAATGGAGAACAATCCATGGCTTGGCCTAGGTGCGGGTGAAGTAACATCCGATCGCGCCGGGCGAAGGAATCGCTCTGTGCTGCACCACGCGAAAAGACGGCTGCTATTCCTATTCCAAGTGACAGAACACACATGGCACTTTCTGTCTCTGGCAGACACCCTGGGACACTGCAGTGTGGGCACTTAGGTGAGAAAGGATGCACAGATGTCAGACTCGGAGGGAAGGGTCCGTGGGCTTACTGGGAGTAAAGCAAGCAGAGAGTGGCAGGAGCCGGATCCCTTGGCATCCTTCTCAGAGACTCCTGAGGAGGAGACAGTGTGTGCTCAACAAGCGTGCAGGTGGGGCTGAAGCAGGAGCAGTGAGTGCTGACGGACAGAGCTGCCATTTAAATGGACCTAGAACAGTTGGGGGAATGACCTGACAGGAACTCTGTGAAACTCAGCAAGGACGAATACAAGGAAATTTCACAAGTCCTGCATTTGGGAAGGAACGGGCCTCTGCAACAGTGTCGGGTGGGGACCGATGGGCTGTGGAGCAGCTTTGCAGGAGAGGATGTGGGGTCTCGTTGGACAGCACACTGGCCATGAGCCAGCAGTGTGTCCTGGCAGCAAAGGCAGCCAAGAGCATCCCAGGTCATGCCACTGGAAGCATAGCCAGTAGGCCAAAGACAGTGATTATTTATTTCTGCTCAGCTACTGTGTGTCCAGTTTGGGGTCCCAAAATGCAAGGAGAATCTCAACAAGTTCAGTGGAAGCCACCAAGTGCTCCAGGGGAAGGTGCAGCACTTGCCCTGTGAGCAGAATCTGAGGTAACCACCCTGAACTAGCTTGAAGAAGAGACAAAATACTTCAGCATACACAACACAGCCTAGCATATACATTACCAGCAAAAAACCCCAAAGATGAAATAATACACTGTATAAGGAATTCTGCACCTTGGAAGAGGATGGAAAATATAATGAAACATTCATAATTGATGATAGGTGCATTCAAAATGATGCTGATGAGGCCAATGTGTGAAGTTACATTTCTAGAGCAGGATAGCACTCATGAAGGATTCATGTGCACCCCACACAAATGCAGCTAAATTGCCACTTGGCAGCCCTACCTAAACAGTGCAAGAAAGAATGTGCTAACACGTAGCAACAACAAGCAAAATAAATATAGAACCAGCATATCCAGGGTCTGGTTAGCAGTGCAGCATGGGGAAATGCAAGGTCCTGCACCTGGGGAGCAGCAGCCCCAGGTGCCTGTACATGCAGGAGGCTGTCCCAGCAGCTTTGTGGGAAGGACCTGAGGGTCCTGGTAGGCACCAAGCTGAACACCAGCCAGGAACACGCCCTGGATGCAGAGGATAACAGTATCCAGGGCTACAACCAGCAGGTTGAGGGAGTTGATTCTGCTCCTCTCCTCAGCACTGGTGAGGCTGAACCTGCTAAGCTCCCCACTACAAGGGAGATACAAAGCCACTGGAGAGAGTTCAACAGAGTTGCTAAGGTATTAGGGGATTGGAGCCCCTCTCCTGTGAAGAGGGGCTGGAGGAGATGGGGCTGTTCTGGCTGGAGAAGACCACGCTTAGAAGAGGATCTTACAGATGTGTATAAATACCTGAAGGAGAGATATAAAAAGGATGAACCAGGAGTTAAACCACAGCAGTCTTTAATGCAGTTATCAAACACTGACTCCACTTGTATAAAAGTTCCATAAGTCAGTTTTAACCTCAACTTATAGGCTGTTTCATTTTTTAATCAATTCTGTAGCAAACTGTAGCATTTTCATTTCCAGTATGCAGTAAAAAATTTTATGCGAGGTACCTAAAACTTCTCAGAAGTATAACATTTTAGTAACATAAACCCTCCAATTTGTTACATCTCTTTATATTTGTAGAGCTGGTCCTCTTGATGTTACCATTTTTGTCAGGATTAAGGTTCAGCCAACAGTTTTAATCTAATGAGAATGCCTGCCATTCTGGCCTGCTACTGGGGCAAAGAACTTATAACTTTGTTTCATTTTAATGATCTGATGATAGGAGAGAGGAAAAGAAAGAAAATAGGCTGCTACATGCTACAAACAAGAAGAAAAATTCCTAGAACCAGCAGAGCTAGGCTGTGGCAGAGCTCAGCAGGATGGAGGCTGCAGCTGGTGGTTATCATGCCCAGGCTTCACCAATCTGACCCACAGAGCTGTAGGACATACTTTGATTTTGTGAGGAAGATTGATGTAAGGGACCAGCTCTGAGCCCTCAAAGCACGATGGAACTTGCTGTGCCTTTTCTGTACTAATGTGTTGGGCATCTGCAGAGCTCTGTCAGTAAGACTGGGAAGGATATGAGAAAGCCATGGACTATTGTGGGTGCTCCCAACTATGAGGCTGCAATAAGCCTATTGGCTCATTGCAGATCACCTCCTTTCTCAGGGTGTGCACATACCCTTGAATGAAAAGCAATTCCCTGGGGAAATTTCTGGGCAACCCCTTCTTTCACAAGGCAATTAATTTTCCTGATGGAGGGCAATGATCTGTGCATTGTAGGAGGACAAGGGGATGCTGTGAGGAAGCCCCACTTGGAAGAAGGTGATCAGAAGCTGGAAACTGAGCTGGCTGCTACCTCCCACACTGGCTTGCTTTCATCTTTCCGTGTTTATTTCCCAGGCATGCCGCCAGCCCGGGGTGTGTGCTGCCAACAATGCAGCGCTGCGGGGCATGCTGTGCACAGTGCCCTCAGTCTGCCACTCCTGGGTGACACTGCCCACTTTCTGTGCTATAGGCCACCGGGGCTGCTTCGCCAGCCCTGGGCTGCCACACTAACCATGTCTCCTTAGCCCAGATCTGCTGGATCGTTGCTGCTCTGTGTGTCCCTGGCTGATGCTGCTTCTGTGTTGCAAATTGTCTGACCCTGGCAACCTCTGCAGCTCTGGCCCCAAGCACTCTCTCCCACTCCCTTGTCCAGAGTTTATCCTCTCTGCAGCCTAGAGCAATTCTGAGAAAGCAGATGCAGGCATAGACCTTAAATAAAACCTTTTAATTCCAGACGGAACTTAACAAGTTTGATGAAGTTAGTCAACGTACTTGTTCTCCCCTCACTCCTGACAGCATCAGCCATGTACCAAACCTCAGTGTCAGAGGTTGTAAAACTGAATTGGAGTGCAGCAAGGCAAAAGAGCACTTTTCAGTTCTGGTTGATGTGGCAAGCAGCCTTCTCTGCAGACACAGCATCTGTGCACAGAAATCCATGTGTCTGTGGAACTGAGGTGCAGCTACAGTGGTAGCAATTTCCTGTACTAGGGTGCTTTTTCTAGGCCATGGTGACACACCAAGCCAGAAGATTGCCCATGGGAATCAGAGCAGTCATCAGAAGTGTGAGTACTTGATGCTGCCTCCTTACTTCCAGTCTTTTTCTTTTCAGAGTGAGATGAACACTACTCTCTTCTTCAGCCAGGCAGAGAAGATAATTAGTGATAGAAAACCTAATATAATAGCAAGGAAAGAGAGCAGGAGTAAAACAATAAGCACTTCCATTACCCTGCTGAGGAAATCTTGGTGTCTGTGGATAATTCCTGCCAGCAAAGGATACCTCAAAGCAAAAGGCTGATGAGCATGTACTAGATAAACCACAAGATTTGGCAACAGGGACTTGCAATAGAGACAGAGACCTCTGCAAAGCAAAAGTGGACAATCCTAGGAAAAGTAGAACAAATGCAAGGTCTTGTCTGGTGTCTAATCTAACAAAAATAATCCCAACATGGCACAGCTTCAGGATTAAGAATGGAAGAACCCTCATCAGCAGGCCAGCCTGCCAGCCAGCAGAATCAGCCTGCTGAGTACCTTCACCTACCAAGTGCTGCCCTGCTTTGCTTTCACTGACCTCTGGCAGCTTTGCTTGCATGTAAAATCAATCACAACATGGTGATCTGGTTGTTCACAAGCTCAAGTTAATTTTACAGGACCAGAAGTTCTATCTTGCCTAAATAAAGGCAAGGTTGCACTTAAAAATGCAAGAACCTCAGGTATCAGAAGAAAAATAGATTTTTGAAATGTTGACCTGAACACTCAGCACACCTGCCCTTGCCAGGGACTGTCCTTCAAAGAAAAGGCAAAGCTGGTAAAGTGAGTGGACCAAGATGGATGATACAAGTCCAAGTATTTTTAATCTGGGCTAACTGAACATAACTGGAAATAGAGAGGCATGAAATCAGGATACCCCAGAGTAATCACTTTGGTGGAGGAAGAGCTCAGAAGGGGCTGGGTACTTGCTTTCCAGTCCTTTGCTTTCCTCTGCCTCCTCCACTGCAGCTGAGCTGGGGAAAAGACCTAGAAGCCCTTCTGATTTTTTTTGGAAGCTGAGTCATTTGGGTGGATGAAATAAGAACGTCTATGATGCTCCTTTCTCCATTGTTCTGTACTTTGAATAAGCATCGACATCCAGGCTGAAACATCAACTTT